TGAATCAAATGATTTGATCTGAATCAAATGATTTGTGAACACACTCAGACGTTCCAATCTAAATAAAATGATTTGCGATTCGCACTCCGAAGTCCCGATCTGAATCAAATGATTCGTGAACACGCTCAGAAGTTCCAATCTAAATCAAATGATTCGCGATTCGCACTCCGAAGTCCCGATCTGAATCAAATGATTTGATCTGAATCGAATGATTTGTGAACACACTCAGACGTTCCAATCTAAATCAAATGATTCGCGATTCGCACTCCGAAGTCCCGATCTGAATCAAATGATTTGATCTGAATCGAATGATTTGTGAACACACTCAGACGTTCCAATCTAAATCAAATGATTCGCGATTCGCACTCCGAAGTCCCGATCTGAATCAAATGATTCGTGAACACGCTCAGAAGTTCCAATCTAAATCAAATGATTTGTGATTCGCACTCCGAAGTCCCGATCTGAATCAAATGATTTGATCTGAATCAAATGATTTGTGAACACACTCAGACGTTCCAATCTAAATCAAATGATTCGCGATTCGCACTCCGAAGTCCCGATCTGAATCAAATGATTCGTGAACACGCTCTGAAGTCCCGATCTGAATCGAATGATTTGTGAACACACTCAGACATCCTGGATCACGCACCTCACTCCATGCAATGCTTTACAGAAAGTCAGCGCGCGAGATTTCAGATTGACAGTATGACATTAATACACAACGTTTTTGCTCAAAACTCACTCGACTGTGACCTAATGCAGATATTGTATATAATAAACTGATGCATAAATGTATTATGAGACAGAACGCAGAAGTTTGCCTATGTATTTTGACAATTTTTTTCACCATTAAATAGCCAAAATGTGCTTTTTACTGTTTTGTCTTGTTTTTCAAAAAAAAAAATCTATTACAAAACAACAATTTAAAAATATTTAACATTCTAGCCGGCATTATACCAACAAAGCAGAATTTAACTTAAAATTAATAAGTTATTAAAATAATATTTTTTAGCGATCAGATCCCCTTCTTGAATCAGGCGTGTATTTTTACTGTAACATTAAAAGCAGCCTTGCTGAGATGAGACTTCTTTAAAAACATATTACAGATCCCAATTTGAAAACTATTAGTGTATGTTATAAGAAATTTATTAACAGAGCTGTTGTAATTATTATTGTCTTCATTTTTATTTTATTTTACAGGACAGCAGTAAAATTACAACAATACTAACATTTATGAATGTTGGAGTTCTTGCTTTTTCTTGCAGCCTTGAAAACTGTTGTTTGTTTGTTTTCAGGAAAATCAATGTAATATATTTTTGTTCAATAATATTTTTGATTATTATTTAGAATTTGGTGGGGATTTTATGATACTATGCAATATTTGAGCAATTTTCTATGAACTATTTTATTTTCCCACAGTCATATTTCGGTATCATATATTAAATTACCAAGTGACACGTTTTTATTTTTCAACATTTTAACATATCAAAATCATATCCATGATTTTTTTTGTGTGTTTAGCTTAGCTAATGGAACAAAAGTCACCTCATTGTGTCAAAATTTTTCAGTCAAAATGACTGAAGAGGTTAACAAATATCTACGTTTGCAAAAAAAAAAGACACTTAAAGCAATAAAAAAAAATGTTTTGTTTTCTCAAAAATATTTTTTATTAATAAATAAACTAAAATAAATCCATTAATTTTTGTAGCATAAACAAAATAATGAAACATATAATAATAAATTAATATAATCAGAGACCTCATGAGACACAATCTGAGCGTCTGTACACAGTCACATGATCAATCACACTCATTTACTCACATTTGATTGGTCACTAGAAATAGAGCACAATCTGACGTATTTCTGCTTCATAAGCTGTTTATTTCCAGCGGCCGCTTGCATAAGCTGCTTAGACTATAGGCTTAAAAGTTAGTCATTTGATTGTTTTATTTAACACAGGTCATAACTTACATAAAAATGTAAACTGGTCTAATTTGAATCTGAAAAGTAAGACTAGTTGGTCAGACTAGTTAATAAGACACAGTTAATGCAACTGGCCAGAGGTGTAAATCTGTCTTTTCTGGGAGAAAATTAGGCTGAAAAACACCCAGAAATAAACAGAGAGAAGCATTTCAAACACACACTTTTCTTTTTCTTTTTGCAGTTGTGACTGTAGTAAACGGACAGATCTGGTGTTTGTAACGAGGATGTGTTTGTTTTGCGTCTCATGAAGTCTTTATATTGCAGCTGTTCTGACGGTGGATCATTCTGTGGTGGATCTGGAGACCATTGAAGCTTTATATGAGAACGTGAGTGCTCAAACCCAGCCGTCATGAAACCCAAACCTTCACCAGATTAACACCTGATTTTTATTCTCGTTCTTCACTCTTTGTTTATTTTCTACAGTCGGTGTTTTAACAGCACCAGCTGTTTGTCTTTATTACTTCATTAAATGTGTGTGTGTGTGTGTGTGTGTGTGTGTGTGTGTGAGTGTGTGTGTGCATGATTTTGTGACATATGAGGACACAAATTTGTATAATGACATGGGTATGACAGGTATTACAAGGTGAAGGTGACTTATGAGGACATTACCCCATGTCCCCATTTTTCAAAACACTTATAAATCACACAGAGTGAGTTTTTTTTAAGGGTTTACTGTGAGGGGTAGGTTTAGGGGTAGGGTTGGTGTAGGGCAATAGAATATATGTGTGTGTGTGTGTGTGTGTGTAACTAACTCTAACCATGATCTGATGATTTGATCAGTTTGTTTGTTGTTCCAGATTTTATTAACATTATATACTGTATTGTGTATTTCCTTTTTAAGACTTCATATCTGTGTGTACTAAAACTAAAACTGGTTTAGTTTAGTTTATTTATTTATAAAGCACATTTAAAAACAACAGGAGTTGCAACCAAAATGCTGTACAACAAATATAAAACAAAGTAAAAACATACCCAATCAAGACAGACAAAGGAACAAATAAAATTGTACACCCTCAAACAGAATTAAAAAAATACAGAATAAAAATAGGTTTTCAAAGAGGATTTAAACAAAGAAATAGAAGGGGAAGATCTTATGTGGAGGAGAAGACTGTTCCAGAGCCGAGATGATTTAGGAAACCCAGATAAAGTGAGTTGCAGTAATCCAACCTTGAAGTTATGAACGCATGAATTACTGTTTGAAGGTCCTTCATGGAAAGCATCCTCTTGATTCTAGCAATTGATCTTAATTTAAAGAAACTGCTTTTCACAACAGCACTAATCTGCTTATCAAAAGACAACGTAGGATCAAAGACAACGCCAAGGTTTCTAACACAGTCGCGTACATTTGATGACAGGGGGCCAATCTGCTTAACAATGCCAGAAGACACAGTTGTTGGACCGAAAACCATTATTTCAGTTTTATCATTATTCAACTGTAAAAAAATTCCATCCAGCATTTAATGTCCTGAAGACATGCAAACAGCTAATCTGCTTATCAAAAGACAACGTAGGATCAAAGACAACGCCAATGTTTCTAACACAGTCGCGTACATTTGATGACAGGGGGCCAATCTGCTTAACAATACCAGAAGACACAGTTGTTGGACCAAAAACCATTATTTCAGTTTTATCATTATTCAACTGTAAAAAAATTCCATCCAGCATTTAATGTCCTGAAGACATGCAAACATATTAGACATAGAGCAGTTATTGTTTTTAACAGGAAAATAAAGTTGAGTTTCGTCAGCAAAGAAATTATATGATAAATTATGTTTCTGAAAAATATAACCGAATGGAAGCATATATAAGGAGAAAAGGAGAGGACCCAAAATAGAGCCCTGTGGAACACCACAGGAGATTTGAGCCCGAGATGAGAAACAATTCCCCAAATTCGCAGGAAAAAATCTGTCCTTAAGGTAGGAAGCAAACTGGAAACCAGCTACCTGATCAAGTCTTTGAAGAAGGATGTCATGATCTATTGTATCAAATGCTGCACTTAAATCAAGCATGATTAAGATACAGCAAGAACCAGAGTCAAGGGAAAGTAAAACAGCATTAGTAACCTTCAAGAGGGCAGATTCAGTACTATGAAATTCTCTAAACCCAGACTGAAATGTGTCACAAATATTAAAAGTACTTAAGTAAGATGAGATCTGAGAATAGACACCTTTTTCCAAAACGTTTGAGATGAAAGATAATTTAGAAATGGGTCTATAGTTATTTAGGTAATGCTGATCAAGATTATGCTTTTTTTAACAGTGGTTGGACTATAGCATGTTTAAAAGAAGCTGGTACAATTCCATTTGTTAATTAGCTATTGATAATAGCAGTAACAACTTGACTCAAGGCTGGAAAAGCCTCTTTAAAAATCTGAGAAGGCAGAACATCAGAGTGACAAAATGAGGGCTTCATACTAAGAACAATATCATAAAGCTGTGAAGGTGACACGGGTCGGAAAAGAGATCGGGAGCTCTGATGAGAAGCCATTTCTAGAGGAAAATAATTTTGAGACGGTATGTTAGATCTAATACACTCGACTTTATGGATCAAATGTTTTAAAAACTGTTCACACAAATCAGTGGAGAATTCTAATGAGGCACTAGGAGCGGGATTTAAAACGACATTAATCGTATTAAAAAGTATCTTCGGTCTATATGCATTTTGTGCAATTAAATCTGACATGTATTTCCTCTGAGCTTCCTTAGCAGTACTCTGATTCCGTTTAAGACATTCTCTGAAACTTTCGTATGATATCTGAAGAAACCTGTGTCTTAAAGGGATAGTTCACCCAAAAATAAAAATCCTGTCATCATTTGTTGAGTTTCTTTTTTCTGTTTCTGGTCTCCATTGACTAAAAATACAGTTGGGGACCATCAAAAGATCCTCATCATCTTTTGTGTGAGAGACCTATAAAAGATGAATTATGACTGTAATATTGCACAAAATGAGTGATTTGAAGCCCAGTTAGCTCTTGATCCATCACGAGCATCTATAGTTAAACTGATGGATGTTTTGTGCCATTGCCATTATAATCACGCAAAGACTGCATTATATGGTCCTGCAATGACTAGTTTTACTTCTAATGGTTTTGTTGTGAATGTTGACAGAGAGCTCAGCCTGACGAACTGGAGAAGATCAAGAAACATTACGAGACGTCTAAAGAAGACGAGGTGAAACTTCTGGATAAACCGGAGCTGTACGTCATTCAGTCGCTCTGATCCTTCTCTGAATAAGTCGTGGGTTGTGTCAGAGACCATATATTAGGATAATAATTGCAATTATTTAACATTCATTTATAACACAGTCATGCATCTTCGTTCTGCTGATTTGCAAAAAAGGCATAGTATCAGTACATTTGCTGATGCTGAGTTCAGAAATATCAATACAAACTTTCCATCGAGTAGTTTTTTTTTACAAGGGAGAAATTAGGATGTTCAAATTCTATATATGTATCAGCCTTTAAATAACAAAAGCCGTGAATTGTCAAAAGCTTCAAAAGAGTTTAGAATGCATCACTGAACTTCAGCAAAGGACTGGAAAAATATGTTCAAATACGTTTAATGTCAAAGACCTTTACAAATAAGCAAAATAGGCTTGTTTTAGCCAAATCATTTTCTCTGTCTGTTTGGTTGCAGTACGTAAATCTGACCTTGAAATCTGGATGAGGTTTATAACAGTGTTCTAAGTGTGAAAACGAGCTGAGAATTGATCAAATAGACAGGATTCGTGTGTTTAGGATGTTTTTCTGCTGATTGATGAGCATTGCAAGACTTCCTCGCCGCACAAATAATACTAAAATAATTCTCAAAAGCAAAAATGCTACAAAATGCATCATATTTCTCCAGCAAAACAGACATTATTTTTGGAATCATTGGCTCAAAATGAGCAAGAAACCAGTATTGGCTTTTATTCAGCAAATATAATGCAGGACAGTGTTATCATAACAACATTTGAATTGATGTTTTGCTGAAATCAGCATCTTCTGGTTCACATTCCACGTACGACTAGTTATAGTAGAGTTCCAGGTTAAACGTGTGTTAAACAAAGGTTTTGAAAATATCGCTACAAGATCTAAAATCTATATATAGTGTACTGTAAATATGAGACTTTAAGAGCCTATTAGGATTTACTTTAAAACTATATTCACTCAGAAACTGATAGTGATTTTCACAAATAATTACAAAGAAACAGCAAGTAACATTGAATTGAATTAACATTAACATTAAATTAAACATGAAATTTAGAAGTAAAAGGACTGAAATAGTATCAACAGGGTTAACATAGTTAACTAAAACTAAAACAAAAATTTTTACTTCACTGAAAACAATTATGCTACATTTTTTAAAGGTAAGTGGTTACAAACTATTTATTTTAGCTACATTTAATTAAAAAATATGTTGAAAGTTAGTCAACTAAATTAGTTTATTTAAATGTAGCTAAAATAAATTGATTGCAACCACTTACCTTAAAAAAAAAGTAAATTTAATGAATAATTTTTCAGTGTTGAAATAAAATAAATATTAACTGAAATCAAATATAATAAAAAACTTAAACCTATTTTATTTCGGCAACTTTTCTCATTTTTGCTTAGTTTAATTTGATGTACTAAATTAACAAATAAATTGAAACTGAAATAAAAAGTATTAAATAAACATTTAAAAACAAAAAAATGACAAAATTGCACAAATTAAAAATTGTATAAATTATAAAAATTACAAAAAAATGAAAATTTGCTAAAACTTGAACTAAAATTAACATGAAAGCAGAAAATATAAAAATAAAATCTAATTCAGAATCTTAAAAACTATGACAGTACTGCATATCAGTGATCACTGCGTGTAAAACACATTCCAGTAATCTTTGTTTTATTTTTCAAAATGATGTATTATACTTTGCTTAACTTGGAAAAATATTTTTTTAGTGTACCAGACAAGAACTGACATCCGTAACGCAGCATCAGACATTCAGTCGTTCCTCAAAAGGATGATTAAACGCTTTACAACACATTATTATTACAATAAATGCCTCTGCTTTCCAACCCTGCTGAATGCCAGGCGTGTAAGTGCGTTAATGTGGCTTGTTTTTTATGAACTGAAGGGTGAGGGATGAGCTCTCAGATGCTGCACAAACATCTGAAGCGCTCCTGTAGAACCAAATCAGCCAGCTGCGTGTGACCTTTGACCCTCGCTGTAGTGAGTCAAACAGGAACGCAGCGGTGCTCTGTGACCCGTGCCGCTAATATTCAGCATAATCACACTTAAGTGCGCTTACTTGCATCCAGATTGGCGTGTTTTCGTGTGAAGACGTTGTGCCGAGGCTGTTGCTCACCGCTTCAATCTCGTTCATCTTCCCGCGCAGATTCCTGTACGAACTCTCCCAGATTCCCGACTTCGCCCGGCGTGCGCACTGCATCATATTCCAGTCTGTGTTCGTGGACTCCATATCATCCGTCCATCGGAAGGTGGAGATCATCTCTGCTGTGTGCAAGGTACAATCTGAAACGACTCTTCCGCTTTTCTGATTTATTTTGCCATTTCTTCTGTTACTGTTAACCCTAGTGAAATATAAATATACTTAAAGGGTTAGTTCACCCAGAAATGAAAATTAGCCCACAAATTACTCTTCTTTCAGACGAATCCAGTCGGAGTTATATTAAAAATTGTCTTTGATCTTTTTAAGCTCTATCGTTGCACTCAGCGGGTGCTGCATGCATCAGTCCAAAAGAAGTTAAATAAAAAGCGCCCATCCATAAAAAATGTCTCACACGGCTCCGGGGGGTGAACAAAGGCCTCTCTAGCGAATCGATGCATTTTTGTAAGAAAAATAACCATATTTAAAACCTAATAATCACTTTAATGTAGCTTGCACTCACTGTTGTACACAGAAGCCGCTCCGGGCGGAGGACTGTCAGTCTTTATTCACCTATTCCTCGTGGTTTCTCATTAAACTACATTAAAGTAAATAGTGTAAATTACATCACTAATGTCATAGAGTAGCACACTGTAACGCAGTGTTACAACGTGCCCCATCTGCGCAACTGCAGTTTAAAACTGGTTAGTGTCTTCTGCTAGTTAGCGAAGTATTAAAAAAATATCTAAACTGATAAATAACAGATCGGAGATTAAAATAATAGCAGATTTGCCTCATTTTAAATGAATACTAAAAACTGCATTATTACTATGGGAAAATAAATGTAAAAGCGATATCTTCAAAAGATTTGAGAATTTTGGCGCAGTTTTTTCTCTACACAAGCGGTTTGAATATTTCCGCACATGCTTGCATAACAAAATTTACCGTATTTACTAGTTACCATATCAACATTATATAGAGAAAAAAAGTGACCATAGTAAAATTTAATTTCTGGCTTAAGTAAATTTTTCAACTCAGTTTTTATTATTCGTTTAAGAAGAGACAAATCTGCTAATATTTTAATCTCCGATCTGTTATTTATCAGTTTAGATAGTTTTTTCTGTAATGCTTCAATAACTAGCAGAAGATACTAACCAGTTTTAAATTCCGGTTGCGCAGATGAGGAACGTTGTAACACTGCGTCACGATGAGAAACAGGTGAATACAGACTGACAATCAATGTTTAATGTTCAGAAATTATTATTTTAAGACATGTACAGCTTGTTTATGTGGGCCGTCTTAAGCATGGTTGCAAGTGTTTTGAATTTTTAAAAAATGCCATTATTTTATTTGAAATAAATAATAATTTTATTGACAAAAGATTTCAGTTTGTCTTAGTTTTCATGAGATCAGATAACATTTTAAGCCGTCATATGGTCATGTTACAACGTGCCCCTCAGATGTTACAATGTGTTCCACCTACGGGGCATGTTGTCACATCTCACTTCCAACTTTTGAAGGAAAATAAAGAAAAACGTATACACTGTAATTATGAAACAAAGCAACATTTGTACTAGACAAGTGTGAAATTACTGTGGATAAAAAAAATAATACTCTGAACCCCATGTGGATTTACACAAACTGAGAAGCTCAAAATGAACCGGTGCGCATTCACACTCATTTTGCCGGCACGGCTCACAAATGTAAGTGTCTTTCCAGACTTTCCTTGAGAATGACAGCGTGAAGGACGTGATCGGCCTCATCTTGGCCTTTGGGAACTACATGAACGGTGGAAACCGGACCCGAGGACAGGCGGACGGGTTCGGACTAGACATTCTGCCTAAATTAAAAGATGTCAAGAGCAGGGTATGAAAACAACGGTAACACTTTACAAATATGCATTCATTCGTGCTTAACTAATGCACAGATAGTCACGAGTTAATGTATAACTCATGAAGAACTAAACCATTTATTATTGATTACTACATCAGCAACTAACGAACATTCTGTATGATTCAGAATGACACATTTAACTGGTAACAATGTATTGATAACGTAATCTATTAATCATACAGAATGGTAATTTGTTGCTGATGCATTAATTATCAATAAATGGTTTAGTTCTTCATGAGTTATACTATATTAACACATGATGATCTGTGCATTAGTTAAGCATGAATTAATGCATATTAGTACCGCCGTATTGTAAAGTGTTACCAAAATAACACTCGTAACGTCTGCTAATGACCTTCTTTCCCATCAGGACAATCGTATGAGTCTGGTGGATTATGTGGTGTCGTACTACCTGCGAAACATGGACGAGGTACAGCGTTTATTTTATTCTGTTTATTGTATGTCACTGCATTCATAAAACCAGACTTCATATCTCTTCATATCGTCATTTTGCAGCTTAAGTGAATGTACGTATCTTCATTTAACAATGTGTAGATATTTGTATTGAAAAAACGACAAAAATACAGAGTTACAAGCAGAGAGTTTCTTGACAGATTAGCTATGTTTCCATCCAAAGTCACGAATTAAACTTATGCACTAAATTGGAATATCGCATAAAACAATTTGCGATAAAGCACCGTTGATGCGCATTAAGGAATTTATTCAGTAAAAGTGTTTCTGAGCATGTTTTCTTATCGGATAAGAAATTTATCCTACTTAGTTAAGCGCGCAAGTTTTTTTATGTGCATTTTTAGAATTTATGCGCATCTTGGCGTTTCCATCCAGCGTCTTTTTATGCGATATCCTAATATGCACATAACAATAGGTGGATGGAAACAGAGCTATTGTGTTGTTGTTGTTGTTGTTGTTTCAGAGCGCAGGAACAGAGAAGAGCGTTTTCCCGCTGCCCGAACCTCAGGATCTCTTCCACGCTGCTCAGGTCAAGTTTGAAGATCTCGCAAAAGACCTTCGCAAGTTAAAGAAGGAGCTGACAGGTATGAGTCTCGCCCGTTTCTCTGTGGTGTTGTGCTTATTTAATGCTGAAGATGGACAGAATGACAGCATCTCACATTGGAAAAGTATAGCAGGCATTCAGAAACCTTTTACACAGTGACCGTAAAATGAGAAAGATGTTTAGTAAACTGATTCACGGATCGGTTCAGTGACTCTTCTTGGGTTACTTTGTCAGTATGTGGCGCGAAGTGAGTCACTGAATCATTCATTCAAACGATTCATTGAAAAAATACAGAGCCAACTGGAACAAGAGCTTCATTCCAGTGACTCTTTTGAATCTATTCACTAAAGAGAGTTGTTCAGATTGATTCATGGATTGGTTCACTGACTCTTCTTGGGTTACTTTGTCAGTATGTGGTGCGAAGTGAGTCACTGAATCATTCACTCAAACGATTCATTGAAAAATACAGAGCCAACTGGAACAAGAGCTTCATTCCAGTGACTCTTTTGAATCTATTCACTAAACAGAGTTGTTCGGATTGATTCATAAATTGGTTCAGTGACTCTTCTTGGGTTACTTTGTCAATATGTGGTGCGAAGTGAGTCACTGAATCATTCACTCAAACGATTCATTAAAAAAATACAGTTATACATTTTTATCACATTCACTCATTAATGAAAAGTTGCTGATCAGATACAATATGTTTAATTGAAAAATATTAATAAAGTAATGATTATTTTGGTCCAAATGGACTGGGAATGTGAATATAGTCGGCTGATTTTGAATGCGTTATGAGAGTAAAGCATCATAAATGTTTCCCGCACAAAGCAAAACAATAGAAATGAGCGAACTGATCATCACTCCGTCTGTCAAGTAACATGCAGTTAAAAGCAATTTCTTTTCATTTTACACTGGAAAAAGCATTTTTACCGTAGCCTGTGCTCCAGGCCACCGCAGGGTCAAAGGCCGCGCCCCCTCCCCCAGCCCCCGGTGTCTGCAATTATTTAAATCAGCCAATAATATGGCATATGAAAGCAATTAGATATGCTCTTTCCTCATTCCCCTCCATTTGAGAATCGCTGTTAAAAACCCTGATCCTCAGTGACCCGAGGGAAAATACAAAACCACTGCCGCCCCACCTCGAGCTGTCTGTCACTCATTTATTAGCACGCAAACGCAAGACAATAAATGCAGGATAAGGGCCTCGCATTTGATCCACACCACAACAACAAAGCCTCAAACGCGAGTCCTCGGGCGCTGGCACCAGATCGCACCTACGACGGCAGCAGACAGGGATAAATATTTATGCCGTGCCATCATAAAGAGCTGCAAGTGTTCCTAATTATTCCTGCCGTCATTTCTGTTTAAAGCGAGAGCGCAGAGTTTCTGGATGAATCATTAATAGCTCAGATCAGGTATTGTAGGGATATATGATTTCTGACTTCTTCACTACAACATCATGACAGAAATACATTACTATTGAACAGTAGAATTTACTACTCAATAATAATAATACAGTTTGGTAAAAAAAAAAATATATATTTTATAATTTTCTTTTTTTTTTAATATATCGATTTTTCATCCTTTTTTTAACACTAAGCCTCTTTTGTGCATTTGAAGGAGTTGTTCAAATTTCATTGGATTACATTGATATTAGGATTAGTTCAATTGTTAGTTACATACATTCGATAAACACCATTTTTGGTAATAAATTTGTATTAAATCAAAACACAGAATTTCTAAAAAATAAAAAAAAAGACATTTCATAGGGCAGTATTTTTAAATTTTAATAAATTATTAAATTGTTATTGAATTGATTAAACATCAGTTTTGATTGTTACAATTAAATTAAACCATTAAAATTGATTTTAGAAAAATGTATAATGGAAAACAGAATTTGGGAAAATAAAAAATTAATCTGGGGAGGGATAAATCTGTAATTCAACTCATTATAAATCCTTTTTCAGGATTACAATTGAATCCAATCATTAAAATTAATTCCAGAAAAATGTAAACATAAAACACAGAATTTGGGGGGAGGGGGGAAACATAAATAAAACAGAATAAAAATTTTTACATTTTTAAAAGTTTTATGAATTCAGTTTATTGTACATCCTTTTCAATTATTAAAATTTAATTAAACCAATAAAATGGATTCCAGAAAAATTAAAACCGAAAACACAGAATTAAAGAGATTTCATAGGGCCGTAATATTGCGATCTCTGGCTTTAAACGTTTAATAAATGATTACATTGTTAAATAAATTGTAAATTCAATTGATTATGCATCCTTTTCAATTATTAAAATTGAATTCAACTTTAGAAAATTGTAAATGGAAAAAAAATTATTTGGGAAAGAATAAAACAGAATATGAGAAAACTAAAACAAGCTCATAGGGCCCTAATATTGAGATCTCTGACTTTATTAGCAATTTGAGACATCACTGAAATCTATTTAAATTCTACAGGAGACACATTTGAGTCTATTTTTTCTTGGAAGTATCTTTTTGGAATCAGCAACAGTTTCAAATTCATTTAAATCCAGACACTGCGGTGAAGGAGAAATAACTGATATCAGAGACAGTGTGTTTGCTGATTTCACACCCGCGGTGTGTGACACGGAGGGGTCGCGACACGGGGTCAGTCTCAGGGGCCGCTTACACGTCTGAACTCTGCCCTCCACGCCGCTCCCTTCAACTTTTACCAGAAATCTGATCTCCATTCCAGCTCCTTAGAAGGGTTTCATACCTACAGGTCACCCCGATGCTGCTGATGGAGTTACTTCTGTGTTCTTAAAGTCACCTCACTGGCTCTTCTGCTCAACAAGGCTGCATTTATTTGAGTAAATATACAGTAAAAATACTGAAATATGATTACAATTTAGAAGAACTGTGTTCTGTGTGAGTATCTGTTAAACTGTAATGTATGTCTGTGATGCGCAGCTGTATTTTCAGCATCATTCCTCCAGTCTTCAGTGTCACATGATCTTCAGAAATCAGTATAATATGCTGATCTGCTGCTCAAGAAACATTTCTGATTATTATCAATGTTGAAAACAGTCGTGCTGCACAATATTTTTGTGGAAACCGTGATGCATTTAATTTTTCAGGATTCACAGATGAACAGAAAGTTCAGCATTCATTTGAAAATAGATAGAAATCCCTTTACTGTCACTTCAGCATATTATACTGATTTCTGAAGATCATGTGACACTGAAGACTGGAGTAATGATGCTGAAAATACAGCTGCGCATCACAGAAATACATTACATTGCACAATATATTCACGCAGAAAACAGCTATTTTAAATTCTAATAATATTTCACTATTTTTACTGTATTTTTTAATAAAACAAATGCCGCCTTGAGCGGAAGAAACTTCTATCAAAAATGTTAAAAATTCATAATTATTCCAAACTTTTGACCGGTAATGTATATCATAATTAGTTCAGATAAATGCATCGATCTTAGCTTGAATTCTAGCATTAAATACAATATTTTCTGTTTTCTGTATAGAGCAGACACACTCGAGTTAAAGAAGCGTCTAAAAGCTGAAGTAAGGTTAATAGTGGAGACAAACTAAAGCGTTAATCAGAACCCGTATGTTCTGTCTGCTGTCTCGGGTCAGACGCTGCTCTTTTGATTAAGCCGCTGGTGGGGCGTGTAATTTCCCGGGGAAGCGCGACCGCAATCCCGAAAACAAAACCCCACTAACCGCTTCATGCACGGAGAACACGGGAATATCCAGGCAACTTTGGGCAAAATAATGAAAACACAAAAGAGACCGAAAAAACTTCAGAGACGGAAAGCACAGCTGTTTGTCTTACATTTTAATGACAAAGAGACAAACATCATCGCATGAGTAATGGTTATCAAAGGATAACAGCTCTGGACTGGCCGTTATTGAGCGTTTCCAGATGAAGCGCTCTCAGACTGAAGGATCTGTATGTGTTTGAGTCTCGTTTACTCACATGTCGGAGTTCTAAACGACGCTGTGACAGTCTGTGAATGTCTGAAACTCCTACTTTGAGGCATAACCAACCGTCGGCGTTCTAGAAGCTCCAGCGCATCTTTTTTTTAAACGGTCAAAATGTCCAGTTTTTAATGTATTCGGAACATTAGAGGAACATTCCATCCTATCATTTTCAAAAACATCATGAAGAAAAAAATCACGTTAAATCTGAATGTTCTCTTAACATTTAAAACAGCTGTTTGTTATAATTAAAGAATGTTTCTTCTTGTTAGACGAGCGTTCCATTTCATCATTTTGAAAATTTTACGAGAAAGTTACATTTGAATATTATACATCCATTTTTTGGTTCTTGGTTACGCGGACGTTAAAGGAACGTTCCTTTTTGTAATTTTTAAAACGTTATGAGAATGTTACATTTCAATGTTCTCTCAACATTTAAAACAACCATTTTTTTGTGTTTAAAGAACGTTATTTCTTGATTATGTCAACGTTAGAGTAAAATTCCATTCTAACATTTTTGAAAACATTATGAAAATGTTACATTTGAATGTTCTCTCAACATTTAAACACCTTTTTTTTTTTTTACATTTAAGGAACGTTTCTTCTTGGTAATTTGAATGTTCGACGAACATTCCATTTCATCATTTTGAAATTTGTATGAGAAGGTTACGTTAAAGGAACATTCCTTTTTGTAGTTTTTAAAACTTTAATAAATATGTAACATTTGAATGTTCTCTCAACATTAAAACATCTGTTTTTTATGGTTAAAGAATGTTGTTTCTTGGTTATGCAAACGTTAGAGGAACGTTCCATTCTATAATCTTGAAACCATTATGAAAACATATCTTTCTGGACAGATTTCAAACTCACCGTCGTCATAATGAGCCGCATACTCTGAAATCATTAGGAGACTCGTAAACGAGTCTCATGTTTGACACCAGAGCAGTCGGTCCGGAAATCAAAAGCATTCTTGCTCTGGTTCCGTTGAATTCGCTCCAAAAGCGTCTTTGATGCTCATCTGTTTGAGATGAGATTCACACACCTCTTCCTCATGTTTCTCGTTTAACTCGTTTATGGATGTGCTGGTAACGTGATACACAGAACTCACCTGCGCTTCATTAATTCACCGCCTTGCTGCTTCACTCAGCAGCCCATCGGTTCCTAATATCATACCATTCATGCAATATGTAGTTAGTATGCAGTGCGTTACGGGAATTTTGTGTATACTTAAAAACTCTGTGGCAGATGTACAATGCAATGCACTTGACCTGCCATTTCTAGTGTGATAAATGAACTGCGTGGGACATCAGCTGCTCTATTTGGAGTCAAAGTTGAATTAAAACAAGATACCTTTAATTAAAGGACTAGTTCACCCAAAAATAAAAATGTGCTGCAAATCTGCTCATCCTCAGGTCACCCGAGATTAGGATGAGTTTGTTTCTTCATCAGATTTGGAGAAATGTAGCATTGCATCAGTGCCTCACTGCAAGTGGATGGGTGCCGTCAGAATGAGAGTCCAAACAGCTGATAAAAACATCACAATAATCCACAAGTAATCCACAGCACTCCAGTCCATCAGTTAATATCTGGAGAAGACAAAAGCTGGAACAAATCCATCATTGAGACATTTTAAACTAAAATACGAGTCCATAATCCATAATAACTCTTCCTCCAGTGAAAAAGTGTTCTGGTGTGAATCAGGAGAGAAATCTGCACAGATCAAGCAGTGTTTAAACAGTCCAAAACAGCCCAAAACTTGAAATTTTTTGTCTTCTCCAGATGTTAACTGATGGACTGGAGTGCTGTGGATTACTTGTGGATTATTGTGATGTTTTTATCAGCTGTTTGGACTCTCATTCTGACGGCACCCATTCACTGCAGAGCATCTATTGCTGAGGCAGTGATAATAACTGGATGGGACTGATATCAGATGTGATGTCTGATGTGTGTGTACTTGTGTTAGTAGGCCGTATGCAGTCGGTATTTCTGATTCTTCATGTGTTTGTCCTGCAGCGTGTGTGAAGGAGGTTGAGCAGGTGTGTGAAAACTCCTCTGAGGAACATCTACAGCCCTTCAAGGACAAGATGGAGACCTTCGTCAGCACCGGTGAGTCTCAAAAACATCCCCTTCACCTGTTACAGAAATACAGCATCTGTCTGGGTTCCTCATCAAGCAGGACTAGACCTGGGTGAACTGGTTTTCTGGTCATCTGCATGATCAGTAGGAGAAATCAATCAACTGATCAATGTAGGGATATCAACGATTCATCGATGATCGATTGTTGATGCGCAAAACACGTGCGAGCGGCTGTGATTCATTCATTCATGTCATTCATTCATAATGAACTAATTAAGCTTTTAATGTGATTTAAACTTTAAAAGTACATTAAAATAGAAACAACACAAAGTTCTTTAACATGGAAAGCAATAGAAATTATATAATCCCAGATAATTGTTTCATATCGACGCGATATAGGCTATTCATTCCTACAACTTGTTAATTCGTTCCTACGACTTATTAATTTATGGCCACTGTCCATGTTTCATTAATTTTGTTCCTTAAATAACCCATGATTGAACTAAATGAGGGAAACGAATTGATAAATCAAACGAATTCTTAATTCATGGCCATGAAATCTTTAATTTCCCTTCCCACATGTTTACCACAGTAAGAGATGCGAAAACAGTGATTAAAAGTGAATGACAATAAAATAAACCTGTGAAATTAGAGGGTTTAGGAAAAGACACAATGCCTAAATATTATTGAATTTGTGGAAATTCGTGACCAAACCAGAACAAAGCCGCGTAAATGTAGGCTATATGAACTCGAACGGCATCCAAAAGCATGGTCGTGATGTAACATTTACCAGCTAACCAATTATTCCTCTAATAAACAAAGCTTTTATACCACACTTATGTCATAAGCAGAGCTTACGATTTGTAAATAAATAATTACTGGGTTCAAAACAGCAATTAAAAGGCACTGTGACCGACACTGACAATACATTTTCCCGGAGCATTCACTAAACGGTGATGCCACAACTACAAGAGCATCGTTCACAAGTTTCTGTAGGACCGAACTAGCCCAGAGCACAGGTTTTCAAGCCCTGGGACAAAATGGGATGCTTTAAGGAAAATGTATAGCCTATGTAAGTTCCATAAACCAGTTCACGGAAAGGAAACCGAGAACCGAGATGACAACGTGCATCCTGTTCATTTGCTTTATTTTACAAAAGCACAAATCTTCTGTTTTTATTGTGAGTGTGCAAAAATAAAAGTAAACACTTTTGCGGATTATATCTTACTCCAAAAATTGAGTTTTTTTTTATGTTTCAGCTGTTCGAACGCACCGGCGCCTCGCGCACACAATTCAAACTTAACATCGCAGTCTGTTCATTATCAAAATAACATACAGTCAACCAAACATATAAAAGGTTACACTGGTCAGTTTAAACAGACCGTAGTATACCGGTCCACTCTGCTGTTAAGGACGTTTCTGCTCATGTGAAGAGGATGATCTTTTCCGTCTATATGCGAATGCGTGTAAAGTACAAGCCTAGTTTACATTATAAATAATAGTTTAACATTCAAATACATTGCGAATATGGAAACATTTGGATTTGTGCCGAATGAGATACATCTAGCCAAACCCACGCGCTCGCTCCGTCTCGTATGCACGCAAGCACGCACTGTCACGATCTAATGCACTGTAAATGCCAGATTTTTAAAAACAAATAAGCCTACCGCAACGCAGTGCTGGGGGTAACGCATCACAAGTTACGTAATCAGATTACTTTTTTCAAGTAACTAGTAAAGTAATGCATTAAAAACAAACAAGCAAGCCCTGCCCAGATTTAAAAAGTAACTCAAAAGTAACGTAACGCATTACTTTCCCTAAAAAATAACTAAGACTCATATTTTTGGACAAGCTTTTAATGAACAATATGGTTTGGCTGTCATTGAATTTTGTGGTATTTTTACACCTGGTACTTAATTTGTTTTGGTTTTATTTTCTTACTGTAAAGCACTTTGTGACTCCTCCTTGTCTGTGAAAGGTGATATATAAATCAATTTGACTTACTTACTTACTAAGTAATGTAATTAGTTACTTTTTTAGGGAGTAATGCAGTCATTCATTCTCTGTTCACCTATAAGAATCTCATGAAAACATCTCCAGCTCATGTTTCACTCCAAAATCGAAAGAAAGAATTAAGTATATTATTATATTTGCCATAAAGAAAATGAAGCCTGTCATTCGGACCATTAGGACATTTTGCACATTTGCATGACAATTAAGCACATTCATATTACTGTAATGTGTCTGCACTTTTTATTTTTAATGGAAATTCTCACAAGATACTAATTTCCTTAATGCAACCATTTAGTATCAATTACTTTAAATCAGCATATATTAAAGACAATGCTGCACTTTATATTTTGGATGGGTTTTCAATCCTTTAAATACCACAGACCCACAAATAAGATCATCCTCATGGAAAGGACACAGTTTGAATGGGCATGATGCCTCTGATAGGACAGCATCATAAAAGTTATTGTATAAATCCCTTGTATAAAGACCCAACTGATGAAAAATGTATATTACAAATTTCTATTATTTGGAAAATTGTTTTAATCAAGTTGCATTATTCTATTCTACTCTATTGTACAGGTAATATTTATTTATTTACTTAAAATTGTAATCTTATATATATATATTAGTGCTGTCAATCGATTAAAAAAATTAACTAATTAATCGCAAATTTTTTCTGAAATTAATCACAATGAATCCCACCTAACGTTAAAGTTTTTAAATATACTTTTATATTGCAATAATCTCACATTCAATTTTCAAATTAATGTACAAACAACATAAAGACAGTATATTTTTAAATATTTGTTTAATGGCATCTTTTTTTATGGCTGAAGGCCAGTATCAATGATACCAATGCTGATATCTTTATAAAATTGCCCCCCCCCCTCCTAATTTTTAACCATTGACTAGCCATTCAGCATTACAGTGTAATTGAGAGCTATCTATTTTAGCATTTATTAGACTTTTAAAAACTTATTTCTAAATTAAAAGTGAACTTAAAACAATCTTCACATAAACATATTTATTTATTTACTTAAAATTGTAATCTTATATATATATATTAGTGCTGTCAATCGATTAAAAAAATTAACTAATTAATCGCAAATTTTTTCTGAAATTAATCACAATGAATCCCACCTAACGTTAAAGTTTTTAAATATACTTTTATATTGCAATAATCTCACATTCAATTTTCAAATTAATGTACAAACAACATAAAGACAGTATATTTTTAAATATTTGTTTAATGGCATCTTTTTTTATGGCTGAAGGCCAGTATCAATGATACCAATGCTGATATCTTTATAAAATTGCCCCCCCCCCTCCTAATTTTTAACCATTGACTAGCCATTCAGCATTACAGTGTAATTGAGAGCTATCTATTTTAGCATTTATTAGACTTTTAAAAACTTATTTCTAAATTAAAAGTGAACTTAAAACAATCTTCACATAAACCCATTATAATAAGTGTCATATTTACCCGTGCGCTTCAGCAGAAATATACAGAAATTGAAGTTATCAAACTCTAAATTAAATATAGATGAATCCTTAAAGCTATAAAAGTTATTGATTTCCTCTTTTTTCTTTGTCCTTTGATTAAGTCATCACAGCAGCTGGTTATTAGGTTGTTTTGGCTGCTATTACTTTAAGAGCTGCCGCTGCTGAACGTGACGC